TCTCTCAACCTTTTAAAGTAGTTTACATTTCTAAAAGTTATTATATAGTTGCTGTTTACATCAGTTACCTATTAACTTTGAACAGTATAAATAGTCCTGTAGTTAATTTATGGGATCAGCATGAGTTTTTTGTTGAGCACATATATAATTTATATACTTAAAGCCTTCATAAGACCATACTTTCTGAATGGCTGTTTTTTTTTTGTTTTTTTTTTAGTTGGAGTCTCACTCTGTCGCCCAGACTGGAGTGCAATGGCCGCTCCCGGCCACCGCAGCCTTGATCTGCTGGGCTCCGGCGATCCTTCCGCCTCAGCCTTCCGAGTAGCCGGAATTACAGGCGTGCACTACCACGCCTGGCTGATTTTTTATTTATTGTAGAGATGAGGTCTCACCAAGTTGCCCAGGCGGGTCTCAAACCTGCGGGCTCAGGCAATCCACTCACCTCAGTCTCCCAAAGACGCGGGATTACAGGCAGAGCCACCGAGCCCGGCTAGATTAAACATTTTTAACTGAATAATTCAGTGACAGTTAGTAGATTTGTTATTCACTTGGTGTATTGTACAGTCACCACTTCTGTCACTTCTAAAACATTCATTACATTAAAAGTAAGTCCTGTACCTATTAAACAGTCCCTTCACATTTCCTTCTCCCCTCATTCCCTAGCAGTCGTCACTCTGCTTTCTGTCTCTGTGGATTTACTTATTCTGGATATTTTAAGGATAAATGGAATCATACAATATGTAACATTTATGTTTGCCTTCTTTCAGAATATTTTTGAAGTTCATCCACATTGTAGCGGGTATCGGTATTTTATTCCTTGCTATTGCTGAATGATAATCTATTGTATGGTGTGTGTGTGTGTGTATCACAATTTGTTTATTCATTTATCCTTCCATAGACATTTGGGCTGTTTCCAATTTTGTGTATATACCTAGAAATAGAATTGCTGGATGATATGTTATTTTCTCCTTTTTGTTTTGTGTTGTTGTTATAGCCATCCTAGTGGATGAGAAGTGGTATCTATGTAATTACCTTTACCTTAACTAGAGTTCTTTATTTCTTACATGACTTTGAGTTACTGTCTAGTTTCCTTTCTTATCAGCCTGAAGGACTTCCTCTAGCATTTCTTGTAGGTCAAGTCTGCTCGGAATAAACTCCCTTGACTTTTGTTTATTTAGGAATGTCTTAATTTTTTTTTTCACTTTTGAAGGATAGTTTTGCCAGATATAGAATTCTTGGTGGACTGTTTTTGTTTGTTTTTTCTTCAGCACTTGAAATATATCATCCTTCTCACTGAGAATCCCTTCTATATCAGGAGTCACTTCTCTCTTGCTGTCAAGATTATCTTTTTTTCTTTGGCTTTCAGTAGTTTGAATGTAATGTATCTTGGTGTGAGTCTCTTTGATTTTATCTTACATGGAGTTTGTTCAGCCTCTTGACGATGTAGACTCATATATTCCATCAAATTTTAGAAGTTTTCAAGCCTTATTTCTTCAAATATTCTTTCTGCTCCCTTCTCTGTCTTTTCCTTCTAAAAATTCCATAATGTAAATGTTGGTATGCTTGATGGTCCTGCCTTATGTCTCTTAGGCTTGCTTTACTTTTTTCATTCTTTTTTCTTTCTGTCTTTCAGACAAGATAATTTCAATTGTCTTAAATTTTACTGATTCCTTGTCTGCTCAAATCTATTGTTGAACCTCTTTAATGAATTTTTCATTTCAACTATTGTACTTTTCAGCTCCCAGAATTTCTATTTGGTTCCTTTTTTATAATTCTATTTCTTTATTGATATTCTTATTTTGTTCTTGCAACATTTTCTTGATTTTTAAAAATTCTTTGTCTGTGATTTTCTTTAGCTCTTTGAGCAAATGTATGACAGCTGATTTAAAGTCTTTCCTGATTCTTAGCTTGCCTTGTAATTTTTTGCTAAAAATTTTGCATTTTGAGTATTGTAATATAGTAGGTAACTCTGGAAATCAGATTTTCCTCTTGCTGTCATCCATTTGTTGGATGTCTTTTCCAAACTATTTTGTAAAGACAGTATGCCTTGTTGTGTATAGTCACTGAAGTCTCTGTTTTATTATTTTAATCGTCAGCCTGTGGACTGGCAAAGATTTCCTTAAATATCTAGAGCCAAGAAGAAAAACATCATATTCTCTTAGTTTTTGTAGCTTAACTCTGAGCTGAGACACTCCTTTAATACTAAGCCAGGCTGACTTAGTCTTCACTGCCAGCTTACACAAAGCACACAGATCTGCCTGAGGTGACAGCATTTTCTGGGTTGTCTTTTTTATTGACTAATCTTACTATCTCAGTTTTGTCCACTTATAACTTGCCAGTATTCCGACCAAGTGCACCTATGTATATGCATATTCACATCCTAAATAACATTTCAATAAATGTAATTTCATTGTGGTTTAAGGTTTATTATTTCTTTACATCATCGTCAACACTTGTTATTGTTTGTCTTTTTTATTTAGTCATCCTAGTAGGTGTGAAGTAGTATCTCATTGTGGTTTTGGTTTGCATTTCCCCAGTGAGTAATTTGTTCAGCATGTTTTCATGTGCTTATTGGGTATTTATGTATCTTCTGCTCCTTTGCCCATTTTTAAAATTGGGTTATCTTTTTGCCATTGATTTGTACAGCTTCTTTATATTTTCTGGATTCTAGACCCTTATTAGATATATGATTGCAAATATCTTTTCCGTTTTTGTGGGTTATCTTTTCACTTTCTTAATAGTATCTTTGCTGCATGCACATTTTTAATTTTTATGAAGTCTAATTTATCTAATTTTTCTTTTGTTAATTGTGCTTTTGGTGTCATATTTAAGCAACCATTGCCAATTCCAAGGTCATGAAGTTTTTTCTCTTCTTTGTAGGAATTTTATAGTTTTAGCTATTTAATTTAGGTATTTGATCCATCTTGAGTTAATTTTTGTTAATGGTATGAAGAGTCCAACTTCTTTCTTTTGCATGTGGATGTACAGTTGTCCTAGCAACATTTGTTGAAAAGATATTTCTTTCCTTACTAAGTATTGACACTTTTATTGAAAATCAGTTGGCTATAAATATGTGGGTTTATTTCTGTACTCTCTGCATGTGTTTTTGGTGCTTTAAATTTTTAATTATCATTATTTTTGTTAGCATATAAGCTATTCATTCTCACCTTATTCCTAACAGAACACATTCCATTCAAGTCCCGATTGTTCATCACAGTAGTAATTCTGGGGTGAGGATAGAAGGAACAAAAAATGGCAGCACACCTCTCTGCCCCTCTTTGAGATTGTCCCTCACTGCATTAAGAGTGATTACTTTAATTATCTTTAGCAAAGTAAATGCTCCATTTGTTACTTTACAATTTAATATTTTCAAACACAAAATGTTTAATTTATACAAAAGTATTATTGTGTGGTTTTGAATTTGACCTGTCCTTCCAAACATGAGAACTGTATGTTGAAAATTTTAAAGGTTCAGATGTTGAACATTGTATTCTGTCATTTTTTATTTGTTTTTAAATTCCATTTTCCCTGAAAATATTGATATTTTTGTTTACCATTCGCTTTAAAATATTCCATTCTCTGTTTTTTCACTGTTACCAAACCTATCACCCTGAGACATAGACTGTTGCTGTAGAAGCAAGTGGCAGCATAAACTGGTACAGAACCAGAGCTATGACTAGTTTCCATGGCATCAAGCTCTCCACACCAAGACAAACCCCTCTGGCACAGACTCCCTGGCTGATTCTAACAGTCCTCTAGCCCTCTCTAGAAAACAAGGCGGGTAGGAACAGGTAACAAAGCAGTATCCAAGATTGGAGTGGCCATATGAATGAACATTAAGGAAAGAAAGTAAAAAAATGTGAAGAGAAAAGATGGTGCAAATCATCACATTGCAAGGAAAAGAAGAGTTATAATTGAAGTGGAAATAATGTGTACTCCAAATTAGGTATTTTCGTAATAATCAGAAGTTAGCTTATATGAAAATAGACTCCTGCAGTTCTTTTCCTAGTTTTCCAACACTGCCTTGTTAGTGTCTGTCCTCTCTTAACCCATATTAAAGTCAGAATTTGTAAAACCTAACCTCTTGATCTTCTGCTTTTCTCTCTGTATACTTTCTTAATTATGTTAGCTTGTTGAGGAAAACTAAATGCAGCACTTCATATCCAAATTTGTATTTCTGAGATACATTGTACTTCAGATAACTCTCCTATTTGGGTAAAGTATTAGCAGTGGTATTAATTGTCATTTTATTTATATGACATTCTAGAAGAGGTCACTCTGACTACCAGTCCTTTACATGATCCCACACCAAGCCCAGTGTTGGGCCTTCCAAAGCTGCATTCATTACACTTCCTCCTGCTGTCCTGAAGTGTTACCATGATGGGAACATGTACTAATATGCTATGTAGATGCTGAGTGATTTTGATTTTGCATTGTCATTATAAAGACTTTAATAATCTAATGCTGAATTATATTTAAGAAGTACTTGTGCAGAGGAAAAATGTTTATTATTATTTTAATAAAAGCAACACTACCCAGTGTCAAAAAGTCAGAGTGAATTTTATATTCCATTTAAGAAAGAAAGTTTCAAAATGTGCCCTGGAAATGTTTACTTACAAGATGTATTGCAGGCCAGGCTCGGTACCTTAGCCTGTAATCCCAGCGCTTTGGGAGGCCAAGGTGAGTGGATTGCCTGAGCCTCTGGGTTCGAGACCCACCTGGGCAACTTGGCGAGACTTCATCTCTACAGTAAATCAAAAATTAGCCAGGCATGGTAGCGCATGCTTTTAGTTCCAGCTACTTGAAAGGCTGAGGCGGAAGGATCGCCAGAGCCCAGAAGGTTGAGGCACTCCAGTCTGGGTGACAGACTGAGACTCCAACTTAAAAAAAAAAAGATGTATTGCAGATACTTAATCTGTTTACTTCTCTTAAGTGTAGATGCTTATTTTAACAAATTTGTCGATACTAAATATATTCACATTTATTTTCCCAATATATAGGGCATTACATTTGATGAATTCAGGTCATTTTTCCAGTTTCTGAACAACCTAGAAGACTTTGCAATAGCCCTGAATATGTATAACTTTGCAAGTCGTTCTATAGGGCAAGGTAAGTTAAAATAATCCTACGTTGTTTCTAGACATTTTGGCAACAAATTAAATATGTCATATCACCCATCACCTTTTTTGAAGTCTGGTGTATACTTTCAGTGAGAAATCAGTTTAGGGAAATGTGCTAAATTTTTGCATTGAATTTATTTCAGACCATGAGAAAAAACTAATGATGTTTGTAAAAGTTCAAAGAGGAAGAAACCTCATGGCCACTTGGTAACATTGAGGGACATGTGTCTACCTGTAGAGCCAGCTGGCTATGCTCCAAACATTCTTGCAGAATGGTATATATTTTACTGATTTAATGCCTGCTGTCTCAGAAACCAGAATTTTGTCAGCAGAGCCACCTGTTAGCCATGGACTTACATTAACTGATTTGAGAATGATATATAAAATTGAATACTAATTTTGCTTAATTTACAAAGAAGGGTAACGGTCATAGAATTCAGAGTGCTGTTTTCCTTAGAGCAGCTCATTCTTCCCTGTGGTGAACTAACAAACCAAGTGCTTACCCTAGGATTCTGTGGTTATGATCACCTTCCTTCCTCACAGAGCCATATCTTTTTTTAAAAATTCTTGCCAAGCCGGGCTCGGTGGCTCAGCCTGTAATCCCGTGCCTTTGGGAGGCTGAGGTGAGTGGATTGCCTGAGCCCACGGGTTCAAGACCCGCCTGGGCAGCAAGACCTCATCTCTACAATAAATCAAAAAATCAGCCGGGCGTTGTAGCGTGCGCCTGTAATTCCAGCTACTCGGAAGGCTGAGGTGGAAGGATCGCCGGAGCCCAGCAGGTCGAGGCTGCGGTGGCCGGGAGCGGCCACTGCACTCCAGTCTGGGCAACAGCGAGTCTCCAACTCAAAAAAAAAAAAAATCTTGCCATAGGGGGACTTTCTGTTTTTGTTCTTAAGGTGATTTTACCTGTGTCAAAATCTAGTATGTGCTAATTCTCAAGCTTAAATCTCAGCAGTCTTTTTTTTTTTTCCATATTCTAGGGAGAAGCCAAATTGTAGCCTTAAGTACTGGTGATAATTATCTTTCTTCCAAAAACATAGTAATTGACTCTGTTATATAACCTCATTCATATATTTAAGTGAACCTAAAAAAATTCATACTTTTATATTTCATATTTTCTAATTTCTAAGTATTCAAATAGAGCATCTTGTCAACCCATTTTAGTGTTTTAAAACCAAAACCTCTGAGAGCTGTGCCTCTACAGACCAGCCTTTAATACCATGATAAACCTAATCAACCTTTTATAAAAAATTAATATCTACTTACTTGGTTCAGAATGAAAAGTTGTTTCTTTTACTTTGTGGAAATAGGAAATGAAAAAAAAATTGATACTGTCACCTGTCTTACAGGTGCTAGGCATATATTCATTCCTTTCTTTTGCCACTACTAATATCTTCATTCAGGTTAATATCTTCAAAGGACTGTTGTAGTAGGCATTCCTGCCACTAGCTACTTACCTTTTCAGTGTTTCTTAGACACCTCACAGAATAATATTTCTTTAAAAATTAACCTTTCTGTGGCATACCTGCTAAGGAAAACTCTTAAGTTTTCCAGTTGCCTGTTAAAGAATGTTCAAGTTCCTCACCTCAGAGTCCCTGTGCCTAGCTTTTCCAGATCCTTTATATCCCCTTGTTCTACCCAGACCAGACTCCTCATTGTTTTATGAATGTGCTTTGTACTCTCCTCTGTCACCCTATCCCATGCCTTGCTTCATTCATGTCATCTCATCTGCATTTCTCTCATCTCTACAAGCTGAAATTATCCTTCAGGGCTCATCTCAAATACAAAGCCACAGCTCTTCCTAATAAATGCCTTTTTCTCGAACCCCCTCCCTATGCATTCACAGAGTACTTCGTTAGTAATTTTGTGTGCCCCTGTGTAACTATTATTTGGGCAGGTATCTCATCTCCCATCTAAACAGTAAGTTTCTGAAGAACATATTCACCTTAATAACTTCTAAAGTATATGTCACTTGATAGTAGGTGGATTCATTAAATTTTCATTGATTATGAATGTATTGTTAGCCTAAAATACAGCTGCTTCTTGCCTCTTTTCATTAAAACTATAAAAATGTTTATTCCCTAAAAGACAGCATAGTTATGTGATGCATAAGATCATGATTTACGTTTAGAAAATGACTTCTTTTACAACCTTTCTAGAAATTAACACGTATTATAAAAATAATAACAATATTCTTTTTCTATGTGACATTTATCTAGATGAATTTAAACGTGCCGTCTATGTAGCTACTGGACTCAAACTTTCACCACATTTAGTGAACACTGTCTTCAAGATTTTTGATGTTGACAAAGATGATCAATTAAGTTATAAAGAATTTATTGGAATTATGAAAGACAGACTCCATAGAGGATTTCGGGTAAACCTATAAATTGTAAACCTATTGATAACCTTTTGAAAATCTGAGAGAAAAAAGGTCTATCTAGGTTTAGAAACAACTTATATTAATATTTAAGGATATAAACATGAAATGCTTTATTTGAAAAGAAAAAGCAATGCCTTACCTACTTTCAAAAACAATTTGAAGTAATAAAATAGAATGCTTTTTTAAAAATATAAAATCAGTTTGAATTATAACAATTTATTTTTATACTCAATTCACTTAATGCTTTCATCCCAGTTTGTGGAGGAAAATGTTGCCAGATAAATTTTTTAAAAATTCAGTCTGCCTTGGCTTTTCTGACTTGTTAGTATACATAAGAAATATCACTACTTCTCATTTTATATGAGACAAATTTCCTCTAGGCAACTTAAGGCTATTAAGTTACTGCATATTCAGTGTGTTTTATATGGAAAATAAGTTATAAATTATTTTTGTCTGTTGAATGTCTTTCTGTTGACATACTAAAGATTAATTACTAGAAATTCAATGATTTTTTTCTCTAAGAAACATGTCTTAAATGTGGAAAAATAGTATGAATCAAAAATTGTTTATACATCTAACATATTTTTTATGGATGTGCCATAAGTAGGAAAAGAAAAAAATTTATATTAAAATTAACAGCAAGAATATTTAAGCATTTCTCTTTGCAAGAATATCCCTAAGTAGTTTGTATTTTAAAACAGAAAAAGGTTGCATATACAAAAGCTCAACATTCATCTTAGACAATATTTGTAAAAATTTTTAATGACTTAAAATCCAAGCTAGCTGGGTAAAGATGCTGTGTACTTAACTGCCACCTAGTGGTTAGTTGATAACATTTTACATAATGTCACAAATACCTGAAAGGACATACATTGAAAATCATTTCTTTTTCCTCAAAAATTTTGGAGTAGCAAGGTCAAATTAAATACAAGCGATGCTATAAACAATTGACATTGTATTGCTCTTAGGTTAGATTTTTTATTTTTATTTATTACATACCTGTAGCCCCATAACATTTTATTTACATGTGTACATTTAAAAATTTTTATTTTTAATAGACAAATAATAACCTAATTATATTGATGGGATACAATGTGATATTTTGATATGTGTATGTATTATAGAATGATTATATCAAACTAATTAACATTCATCACCTTACATACCTATTTTGTTGTGAGAACATGTTAAATCTACTTTTTTAAAAGCAACTTTGAGTGTGCAATATATGATTATTAACTATGGTTGTCTTCTGTGCAGTAGACCCTAAAAACATATTCCTCCTTTCCAGCTGGAGCTTTGTATCCTTTGGTCAACTTCTCTCTATTTTCTCCCCTCCATGCCTTCCCTCCCCCACTCTCCTCTAGTGATCACCATTCTACTCATAACTTCTATAAGTTTGATTTTTTAAGATTCTACATATAGCACTTTGGGAAGCCAAGGCGAGAATATTACCTGAGACCAGGTGTTCAAGACCAGCCTGGGCAACCTGGCGAGACCTTGTCTCTATAATAAATTTAAAAATTAGTGGGCATGGTGGTTCATCTGTAGTGGAAGGCTAAGGCGGAAAGATTGCCTGAGCCCAGCAGGTCGAGGCTGCGGCGGCCGTGAACATGCCACTGCACTCCAGCTTGGGCGACAGAGTGAGACTCCAACTAAAAATAAAAATAAAAAATTCTACATATAAGTGAAATCATGCTGTAATTATCCTTCTGTCTGTTGTCATATCTGATCCTCTGTTTCACAGGGTTATAAAACAGTCCAGAAGTATCCCACTTTCAAATCCTGCCTGAAGAAAGAACTTCATAGCAGATAAGTATGTTAGTTTCCGTTTGTCTAAATGTGTTAAACAATAATAAAGAGTCATAATTTATTTTTTCTGTTAAAAATTTAGAATATAGCTGAAAGAAATAGAATTCTAGTTTGTTTTAGGCCATTAAAGTATCTTAACTGAAAAATTTTTTGTTAAACCTGCAGTTTTATATGTGAGCAGATACCTTATAATGAATCCAAATTGGCCTTTTGTAATCTGGGATAATTGGCACTCAAGGAATATTTGTTATTGATTTTTAGGATCATGATTCTGAACATCTGCTATAAAAATAGCAGCTAGTCTTTTTAGTTATTTTAATTACATGGCACTATAATTAGTGTTTTTCTTTAGTGATTCTAGTTACCTGGCACTATATGGAATGCTCTTCCACATGTACTATCTCATTTAATTTTCACATATCTCCCATTGAACAACAGAGAAAATCAAGGTTTAGCAAGTAGCTTGCCAAGGATAACTTGCTAGTTAGTGGCAAAGCAGGATTTAAGTTTCATTCTCTCATTTTTAATTATTACTTCTTATTTTCTTATTTGTTTATTACTTGGCATTATGTCCTTCTTACTATTTACTGCTCAGTCATCATCATTAAGTATAGTAATTGAGGATGATACAGCAGATCCATTTCATTTGTGTGCAAGGATGTGACTCAAAGAAATTTCTCAGACTTGTTGCTTATCTACAAAATTAGGGATTAGTTTTTCCTTTTTTCTTTCAGAAGTCAATTATAACTATAAAATTTTGGTCAGTTGTGGGTTTTGATTTGTTAGGTTTCTACAATAGAGGTTTCATTATTTATTTATTCATATATATGTTTCTTGCTGTTTTTCTCAAGTTTGAAGTGTGTGTGTGTGTGTGTGTGTGTGTGTGTGTACCAGTGTTTTCCAAAGTGGTTCCTCAGAATATCAATGCATATTTTTCTTTAAAAATTTTTTAAAGAGTTTCTTTGTCAAGTTTAAGAAATACAATACAAATGGTTAAATAGATTCATTCTCCTATAGAATTTATCAAATACTATTATTCAATTTGTCTTTCTGAGAGGAAATTGCAGTTTTCAGCATTTTGCAAAATAGCTTTGAGATTCAGTGTTTTATGGACTCGCTTTGGGAAACATTAGTCTAAATATTCAGAGGCAAAATTTATTTAGACGTATTTATTTGTCTAAGGTTGTAACTGTTGTGATTGAGCTAACAAAATAAGTCAGGTCTTCCTGATCTCTACTTTAAGGAACTTTACACTGAACTATGGGAACTTAAGCTAACCCTTGTTTAAAAAAAAAAGTAGGACTATGCACTTATATGTCTACACAGGTAGTGTTTCAGACCAACTTGTAGCAGTATCACATTGGTACTATTAATTCTAAGTCTTAGTGCATAGAGCCATAGCTAGAAACGACTACCTTTGTTTAGGCCTTTATAAGATGGAGGATTAGACAGTTACAAAACAAAACACTTAACTTTTCAATTAAAGGAAATTTTTGGGATTAATTTAAGTCTTTGTTTCTTATATTTTTATGTGGAGTGTTTTCATGGGATTCCTTATTGTTCCATATTATCATAAGAATATTTGATTAATGCCATTATCTCTTAATTATATCCTAAATAAATATTGTCTTTATATTATTTCTTGTGATTTTTTTTTCTTAGATACTTCTAAAACAAAATTTAAAGGATTGCTATCTATGTGACAAATACAAAAAGAAAAAACTTCAGAGTGGAAGCAGATCTAAGATCAGAACAAATAGGAAATGAAGGAAAAGTGAAATGCTGTGAAATTGTTTTTCTTGAACTGATTTTTTAAGCATAAAACAGAAGAAATACATCTTCTTACAACAAATGTTATATATAATCAAGTTCAGCTTTTGCCTCGATTTACTGAAATCTCTGCACTTTTTCATTCCCTTCATAAATATATAGGTACTTCCAGTGATTATAAAAGAATGTATTTAAAATGTTATTTATTTATTTATTAAAAATTTGCCTCATTTCAAAATAATTTATGATATAGAATGTAGATCATCTAAAATGAACACATTTTCTTTGGTTTTGAACTGTGAACTGATTTTCAGAGAATGGTACTGTTTGAGATTTATCTTAGAATCCTTAGAATTGTTAATATCCTTGTTATTTACTAGGTTTTTAATTACATTAAAATAATTTTGAAAAACAAATAGAAATTAAGCTACTACTACATAATATGATGGTTTACATTGTACTTTTAACTTTTTAAAGTACGTAATTAACATTTATTGTTTGACTTGTATAAAGTTTTTTAAAATTTTAGTTCATTTACCAAAGTCAACAGAATGTCTGACATCCTTTCATGTATACTGTAAAGAAATTGAAAGTAGTTTTTTTCCCCCAATGATGGTAGAAGCAGTGGTAATTGTAAGAGTAGTCACTGTCATTGTCTTAAACATGATGCTGCTCCTGATTGCAGGTGGAATACATTAATAACACTAGTAAAAAATAATATCTTAGAGCTCTGTAACTTATTGCATATTGTTGATATATATCTAGCATCAAAATGAATGTTGTAAACAACTGATATAAAATGGTTTAGAAGACTGATGTATGTATTAGGTAGAAGCTAATATTTTGTTTCTTGCAAAAGGACCACATGCAAAAGTGATGCTTAACAGCAGGTAATAATGAATATATGTAATTTATTATTTCAAAATAATATGTCTTAAAAGGGAAAATAAAAACTTTTCTTTGAATCACAACAAAATTAGAATTTTACATGGGGGAATAATTTGATGATACTTAAAATCTGTTCAGTTAAAAATGTTTCATTTATATCAGGATATTATATCAAATAGAGCAGTGAATTTAAATTAATATACAGTATTTATATATTGCATCCAGAAGACAAGTTTATTTATCTTCCTTTTTAAGCCATATTTAATGTAAGTTGCATACACTCCAACTATTGCCTTGCTTTTGCATATGAAAACAGGAAATGCTGACTTTGTTTTTATGTTATTAAATGTGAAATTGATCTGCATCAGTGTATTTATAAAAGTAATGTTATTTTCAGGAAAATGTTTTTGTCAGCACTGATTCTGTATTTGTTAAACTTTTTACATTCTTTATCTGATATAGTTTATTACACTGGTTTAGAAGTATATGATTCATAAATTTAAGGATACCATATAGTGCGATAATTTAATTTCACCTGCTTTGAAGTATGATTCAACTGACAGACTAAGTGAAAATGCCTACTCATTTAACATGCCCTAGGTCTATTATACCTTACAGTGAATATTCTCAACATTATTTAGTAACTAAAATACTTGAAAAAATACAGTTTAATCCTTAATTATAAGTCATATTATCTTACATGCATGAAAAAAATCCTGTAAATATAGACTAAAAATTAAATTAGCCCACTAAAATTCTTTATAATTTTGTCATTCCCCTAAGGAAGAACACCGTGCTAGACATGTAATCTTTATTCTTTAGTGCTTATCATTGTGAGTGGACAAATATTTCTTTATAAAGCTGCAATATAACCCTAAAATGGGAATACATAAAATATTCTCATCAATTAAAGTAGAAAAGAAAATACCGCGATTTCCTTTGTATTATCATTTTTGAACTTTATCATGTATAAAATGTGAAGTAAAAATATCTCACTGGGTTATTTTATGTGACAATTTAAAAACTTTTTACTGCTTTGAAAATAATGTACTAGCTACATGTATGCTGTTATTTTCCTATTTCCTTCAATAAATTATTATTTAGAAAGATTAGGCTATAGACAAACTTTTAATATACTTTTTTACAAAAAGCATACATGATAAACAGTTTATGGTACTTTTCAGAATCATTTCATAAAAAGAAATTTATTTAAGTTCCAATTTGTTATTTTTATCATAAATTATCATTGTAAACCTGTCTTACATTCTCATGTTATTTTTAAATAAATATATCTGCCCTTGAATTAGGAAACATTGTACTTTGCTTCTATATATATCTGTGCACTAATAATGACTTTCTGAAAATGTCACCTCCAAACTTTGGAAACCTTGTGGGTTATCACACCTCAGTTGATCTTATTCACTCTTCTGTGGCAATATATGCCAGTGAAATTTATCTCATTGCCACCTTTGTAGGTAAGTAAATCACAGAGCCAAAAAGCCTATCAAGGTATATTGTAGGAATTCCTACTTTATAGAATTATAGTTATTGATACTGGAAGGTGTTTCAGAGAGTTTACATGGGACTTAACGGAGTATCAATTTTGCTTCACAGTATCAATTTTGGTTCACAGAACTGATTGTTTAATTGGCTTAAAATAAATAAATTAATTAATTAAACCAAAACTACAGCGACCCTTGTTTTATTAATGTTGTTACTTTTTAGGTATTGTCTTATTTAACACCTAGGGAAGTACCAGTTTTTAAAATATACTAGCTATTATCCTACTTACAACCATATAGTAAATTAACACTTTAAAAAAGCATAGTACTTTTACTACCAAAGGATGTAAACATATGAAATATGATCATGAAATAATAGTATGTTTAATATTGTATCTGGAGTCTCTGATAATATGTATGTTTCAGTATTGCATCTTAGAGTCTGAAATATTCATAACTCTGTATATCACTATCAGTATTTTTTGGTACACATCTTAAAAACTGAGGAATATACCTAAAATTGTAACAAGATGCATATAAATATACATTGCTCAAAGAAAGTTCTCTGGGAAAGATAAATTTTGTCCAACATTGTGAAGGAAGAGAGGGAGATGTGCTAATGAGAAATAGAGTAGAAATTAAGAGAATGTGGAAGAGATCTGAATGAGGATAGTTTTTTTTTAAATTGGGACTGGGAAGACAGTTTTGGGAAAAACTAATTTTTAAATGCAAATTAAATCAAAATTACAGTATGTCCTTTCACCTTCCATATTAAAAAGATAGAGTAGTTGTGCAGTGTATAATGTTGGTTAGTATGTGAGGTAATTTAGAACTCTCAGATGCTGCTGATGAGGCTGGAAGTTTGACTGTAACATCTTTGGAGGGCATTATAGAAATAGCTCAAAATTTTGACCTAGAATTTTACTGCTGGGATTATACTATCCCAATACATATGTTTGTAAATGTGCATGTCAACAAATACATCTTTTCAACAAGGTATAAAAAAGCAGGTGACCCACTTATGATGTTTATAGGACATCAGCACTGCAAGATACTTTCATGGGAGCACAATAAGGTGTGAAAGAATGTGTACTCTACTACTGTTTGTGTTCAAAACACACTTTCATTGCATAGGATTATTTTATTTTTATTGAAGTCATGTGTATATACATTTTTACAAAGTCAAAAAACTCTAAAGTCTTTTTAAAAATCCATCTTTCCATACACCCTCTTTTCTGTTTCTCAGAGGCAATCACTTTCAAATCTTTCAGCAGTGTATTTTGTTATCTGCCTTTATATTTCAAGGTAATATGTTTATGCTAATGTTTTTGCTAATTTTTATTTTGAGATTATGAACTGTTGACTTCCTACAATAGAAGATAAGTATTTGGCTCTCTTATACAACTCTTCCAAGACACACAGACATGTTTCCCCTTTCCCATCCTTTTAGTATAGTTAAACCATAACCTTAGTTAATTATTATATCATTATCATTTATATGTCCTTCCTTAAACATTTTCTTACTTTCTCTATGGTTAACAATTTTCTCCTTTTCAATTTGCTTTATCTTTTGTACCTCTCATTTACTTAATTTAGCCCAGCTAGGTCCCCAGAAATATATAATTAATACAATTGAACATATATGATAATATGTAAGTTTTTATTATTTAGAAGTGCCTGTGGGAGCCTTCCATCTTACCATCTCATCTAGAGTGGTTGTTCCCTAGGCCTGGCACAAAGCTGTCATTCCAAAATCTCCCTTCTCTAACTCTTGAAGATTGTATTTAACCCTTTCTATCTCCTGATAATCCCATTTTTCATCTTTTCATTTATTTGAGTAGAAAACAAGTCTCTGTGTTTCCTGAGAAAGGTTTTATGGTAACTCAATTTTGAGTTGACATATGCATGAAAAGGCCTTTACTCTTCTGCTTGGGTAATAGCTTGTCCAGGAATAGAAATCTAGAATACACTTTTTCCCCTGAGTATTTTGAGAGAATTGCCTCTTTGTCTTCCAGCTTCCAGTTTTGTTCTCAAGAAAACAGATGCTCTTCTGATTCTTCACCTTTTTTTTTTCTTTCTGGACATTAATATAAAGTTTCAAATTGATACACCTTGATAAAGGTGTTTTCCTCAATATTTGTGCTGAACACTCAAGTTCTTTCAACTTAAAAACTCATGGCATTCAGTTCTGGAAAAAAAAACTAATTATGTCTTAGAGAACTTCCTTCCCTCTTGTTTTCTCTGTTCAATTTTTTGTGGAATTTCTGTTATTCCAGTATTGAACCTCATACTAAGCCTATACGTTTAAATTTCTTTCACACTGTTCATCTCTGTATCTTTTTATTGTATCTTTTAAGGATTTCTTCACTTTCTTCCATTCATTCTCTTGAGTTTTTTTATTCCATCAAATGTTTTAAATTTCTCTGAGATTTCCTTTTTTATTATCTCCTGTTCTTGTTCCATGCATTCAGTGTCTTTTATTCTCTGATTATTTAACTTCTGTTTCTTTGAAGTTTCCTTCTTTTCCTTTCATTACCTCATTTCTTTCTTTCTGGTTGGTTGGTTTTGGGTCGCTCAGAGCTTTTTCTCAAATATCTGGTAATCCTTTGCTGTATGTTCATATTTTAAAACAAACTGGAAGCTCTATGTGCATGGAATGAGCTTTTGACCGATGGGTTTTACTCTTTGCTGTTCTGGCTGGGTCATTTGGTATGAGGAAACTTGACTGTCAGTACTTATGAATCATTTCTTTTTGGCTGGCCAGATTTCTCCTGCCTGATAGGTCAGACCTTGGCTGCTTTTTGTTGAATATAGGAAGAAGATCTTGTATCTCCTTTCTTCAGTATGTTATTCCCAACTTCAACTCCTCTGTCCTCCCTGTGCATAGGATTCTTTTGGTTTGACCTCTGAACAGTTTGTCCTGATGTGTGTGGGAGGGGGGAGGAGGGAGAGGCAGAGAGGAGTCTGAAATCTAAATGCTTCCTAATCTATTTCCATCAATCAGTTAATCCTATTTATAGTACAACCTTCAGAGGTACCTGAATCTATCACTTTTTTTTTTTTTTTGAGTGGGGGTCTCACTCTGTTGCCCAGGCTGGAGTGCAGTGACACAATCATGGTTCACTGCAGCCTCTACCTCCTGGGCTCAGGCAAAGACAATCAATTTGTCTCAGCCTCCTGAGTAGCTGGGGCTACAGGCACACGCCACCACACCCTGCAAATTTTTAAAATTTTTGTAGAGAAGAAGTCTCTCTACATTGCCTAGGCTGGTCTCAGACTCCTAGCCTCAATCAAGCAATCCTCCTGCCTCAGCCTCCCAAAGTGTTGGAATTACAGGTATGAGTCACCCAGCCCTGAATCCTTCACTTCTTAAGTCTTTCTGGAACTCTGCAGTATGAATCTGTCACTTTCCAGATGTCTCCTTATTGCAGACATTTAAGTTTTCTATGATATGTAAGTTTATTAGTATCTGTTTGTGAGATTTAAAGATTTTGTCCCTGTACTCTTTTTCTGTTTTTCTTGTCCTTGAGGAGGAAAGTTAACTTAAAAAAAAAAAAAAAAAAAAGCCCTTTTCTGTCATTTTGTATGGTTTCAAGAAGGAGCAAGGGAAGAATGTGTTAACAACATTTTTAAACTCCATGTTTAGAATATATCTGAAAGACCAACAAGGAACCTAAGAAGATGGGACACAGTTATATTTAATGAGCTGCTGTTGAACTGTTTAAGTGTTTTTAGGATGTGTATGTTTACTTTCAAGAAAAGCACATTTTTAAAACTTAGGATCTCAGTTTGGTTAAAATGGGAATAAATCATGAAGGTCATGTATTGGGTGGATTCAGTCATTAAATTCAGAGTTAGATTACTTCTTGAAGCAGGAAGAGAAGGTTTTAAGAAAAATTACAACAGTGATTGTAAGTTTGACTACCATATAGTTAAAGCTTGGATGGAAGGGCTGGGAAGGGAATTAATTGATCAAGGTACATTGGTGGAAATCAGTTACTGGGTGAAAAATGTTAAAGATGGCAGCCATACTCTCTGACAAAGCATATCTGGTCACATTTGCTATAGGAGATAACTGAACTTGGTTATTAATCTAATTCATTATGGCATTTCTTACATGCATATTTTTTAGGGATGAAGCAAGTAGCTTAAAGGTAAGCAGATTGGTCTGCTAACAGGTTTTAAGCTGAGGTAAAAAGAGAGTTTAGGACAGAATAAAAGACAATAAAGGTAATTTTAGTTTATTCTATACAATGCTTTAGGTGCTATAAGAGTTAAGCTGGAAAACCTATAAAAAGTACTCTGAAAATCTATACTTTTTTGTATGATTGCTCTTTGGTGCTAAGAGGTTCTCAAGAAAGTGAGTATCTTATGTACCATTTGTGCTGTAATATTTAATTACAGTGAGTGTACAGGAGATTAGCTGTCTCAAAGATTCTTTTGAAATCAGATTGCACATCAAAACTGCATTGTAGCCTGCTAAGTAAGCAAATTTAAGAAAGAAGAGAAGGTGATGTCAAGACTTATAGCAAAATGAACAAATAAATAGGATTTGCTTGGTGTTCACCTATGAAACCATAGCCAAATGTCAGCCTTCATTTGTCAACTTAATTTTTTTAAATTTTAATTTACAGAGATTCAGTCTATGGAGATTAATATCCTTTAGGTAGTATTTGGACTAAGAAATAAATTAAGCAACAGGAAAATGCTAAATAGATTATACTAATAACTCAACTTCTCATAGTGATAAAATACAGCATAAATATGTTCATTGGTAATTTAGATAAAAATATTTATTGCCTTTTTATT